TTTTCTTGATTATTATATTGGGCATGAAGCCAGTTGATCCCACTCGTTTCCCACTATGTTGACTATGTCAGCTGCAATTTGTTGGGTGTCCTGCACTTACCCATGGCAGCTCTTTATATTTCGGATTCTGTCTTTGAAACCTGTGTACCTCGTGCCGATTTCTTGTCTCAATCCGCTTTTTCTCTTTCGAGGTTGCAGCTATTCGTTCCATAGTATATACACTCATTTGAGGCATAGACAGTCCATTCATTCATAAGATGGAATCATAATTCCCTCGCGGCAAAATCTTGCATTAGCTCTATTTCCTTGGTATCACAGTAAAATTTTTTGCAAACGAATGGACTGAATCACCGCCGGGCTTCGAATGCTTCGTTCATATCTGAGATAAACGCCCCACCAAGCGACTTAGACAGTGTGTCTGGCAAATTCTTCTCGTGGCGCCACCTCTCCCACTCCACAGCAATATCCCAAAACAGCTTGCTAGGAATACGTTGCAAGGTCGCTTCAGCCAAGCAGTCCATATCATATCCTACAAACACACCTCTTCTATTATCAGTCTTCACATGTTTCCATGAAGCTGCCTCTTTGGCATCCATCGTGATCTTGGGCGTAGCATATTCCGCCAACGAAGGTATAGCGGACGGGAAATCAGTCATTGGCCTAGATGCAAACAGTAGCCGTAGAACCTGCTCAATCGATTTCTTGGGGTAGGGTATAAACATCCTGAGCAATGCACGGAACGTAGTCAGGACGGAAATATACTTGAATGACTCGTTCGAGGCCTTATATTGCCGCTGAGCTTCAAAGATAAAAGAGTCTGGATTCGGTTGGATGTCAACGATCGAGCATGGTGTTTTAGGGGAAAATTCATCCTTCTCAACGTGCAGTGGTTCATATGCCCGTTTGTCCCAGAGCAGGAGAGGCTCAACAGATGGGCTGGACTGTGAGCCAGAGACGCAGCGCCGCTCGTTCACGAACAACGGATAATGATGGCGGATAAATTGTTTCCCTAGTGACGAGAGGATAAGGTCTCGCTCTTCTTTTAGTAGGGCAAGGTTCTTGATGATTTTGCCTGCCTCGCGACGATTAGGTACTGGCAGGGTGCCATTCATCACTTTTCGAAGATCAGCTTCTATATTGTCAATATCGCACTGTCTGTCGTCTGCTTCATGTGCCGATCGGATCTGAGAACTTTCGTATAGATATCTCTTCTGTAGGGCGGCAAAATTTTTCCTAAGATCCTTCAACTTTACAGGTATTGGATTGCTTGTGTCAATTTTTTGTTCTTCCTTCTTCAGATCCTTATGCGCCCTAATGTATTCACGATGCCAGTCATGAATAGGGCGTGGCACATAAGAATGTTCGACCCCGTTTACGGCAACAGGCTTTGGAGAGAGTTCAAGAGGTACTGGCTCTCGGCCGGGAGGCACTTTTACAACCACACCCTCATTCCTCTTTGCAGCTCTTTCAGCACTGATTTGAACGACAGGCAGACCTCGTCGAGTCAAATGTGTAGTCTCGCTAGTGTCTCCTGCTACTTCATTGGCTTCCAAAGCAATGCATTCCAGTAAAGCCTGTGTTCTCCGGCGTCTGCTTATACTCTTGGGTAAGATCGCATCTAAATTCGAGGATGGAAATATCGCAATAATTCGTACCAAACCATAGCGGTGGAAATAGCTTTGATCAAGCATAGATTCAAAGTACTTTCGCGAGTCTGTCGCTCGTAGTTTCGTAGCTGAGCGAAGAAGTGTCATGTTGGCCAAAACTAGTAATGTGTCATTCACTTCTGTGCATCCTTCTGTACGCTCAGTCTGCTCAGGCAGGTATCCTTTTTTAAATAAATCGAAGAATGTCCTATCCAATGCCGGATCTAATGGTGCGTGTACGTATCGCGATCCCGGGGACTGAAGTAAAGGTTTTAGGTGCGCTTCATACGTTCTGAAATTTGGCTCGAGTAATATATGTCGTCGAGGGCGAACATATTCATGGAAATGGGAAGACCATATACCAAGTCCTGGATATGCATCAATGATATCGACGGGCTTACTGTTCGGAAGCGTTGGGGCTAGTCTTTCAAGGACATCGTCTATATAAGATTAGGTACTGGATGTGATGTAATTAGTTATTAAGAATTGTAGAACTTACTGCAGAGTTTAGAACTGGTTATGTGGATTCTGGAATCTTTAATATCTCTGATAGAAGGAGAAGCCGACGAGCTAGCACTTCGGGCGTAGCTGCGAAGGAGGACCCATCTAGGAGGTATCGATGAGAATGATACCCCTTTCGTCCAGAGCATGGCTGGGGTTGATCGTATAGCGGGAAGTGGACGGAAGAGTATTGCTGTTGAGATCCATTGGAACATAAGTGCCAGATGCACCAATCATACACCACCATCAAACTGGTATCCACGGTTTTCGGTCAATAGAAGAGCTCTTTGTTGCTGACGGTCAACGTCAAAAGCGCAAAAACACCGTGAAGCCCAAACAACAGGCATCGAAATAGAGTGATTAGTAATAGTGTTACTGGAATAACGTTATTCCCAAGAAAGACCCACCTGCACCCGGCCACCTGACGGGAGGTCCACTGCTGTTATAGAAGGTTGATGTTTATTGGCTAAGATATCAAGCTTAAACCTAACTTTAACCAATAATGTGCCGCTTCCATATATCAAATAAAAACGGTGTCGAATCTCAAGACGAAATCGAACGATTAAACAAATGAATTTGCGACCAAGAAGCGCCAAGTGTAGGCATGGGATTTATTTTTAGCGGTTGCGACTAAGATCTGCACGCCTAGAAACGAAGAGAAAAATCAAAGGAAAGTAACTATTTTTGTTTGTTGGGAAGCTATCTACATTGTGGAGCCCTGGCTTCACGGGGAAAGACGGTTCATGTTGCTCCGTACGTTAAATAACTAGATAAAACGTCGCTATTTACAGTGATTTCATAAATTCTTGTTAAGTTTGAGGGGATGGATGCGTTTAGCAAGTGTTCAACATGGAGGTAAGAGCAGACTTCTCAGCGCTGGTGACGGACAAATCATAAACGGACTTGACCTTGATCCACATGCGAGAGTAAGTGCACCAGTAGGACTCTACAACATGTGTCAGTAATTGGACGCGAAACAATTATCCGGTAATTGGAAAGAAAACTTACGAAGTGGAGGCTTCCATGACTCTGGGCCTTGGTCACCCTTGGCCTGGTTGACCTGTTGATTGACATGTTAACACGATACTTTTCACAAACTGTGCAGTAGGTATGAAAGCCACTTACGTTGTCAGTGACAGCAATGAGCTGAGGATTGCTGAGGTCGTTGGCAAAGGATTGTCGCTGGGAGGTGGTCCAGGAAGCAGCACCAGACTTCCAAGCGTTGCTCAATGGGACAACGTGGTCGATGTCAACATCGCTGGCAGCAGTCCAGGTAGCACCATCGTAGGGACTGAACCAAGAGCCAGAGGTAGCAGCACAGCTGCCATCAACCTGGACGTTGGTACCGTCACGGCGAAGGACGGTTTCACGGGTGTTGCAAGTGCCGGAGATGGTAATCCAGTGTGGGAACTTATCACGGCTGTAACCGTCCTGGGGGCCCTGGGGGCGGACAGTAAGGCCAGAAAGGAGAGATTGAGCAGTAGAGGCAGATGGGATGTTTGGCGGAGTTGGGACGGGAGCTGGAGTGGCCAGGACGGTCACTGCAGAGAGGACGGCGAGAAAAGTGTACTTCATCTTGGCTGTTGCACTATGGAGATGGTATCTCGAGGAGGAAGATGATGAGGGTGTTGGTTGTGGTGGAGGACATATTCCTCGCAAAGGGAGGAAGATCGGCCTCTTATATACATACACTCTGGGTATATAGATAGACATGCACTTGGCATTATTATGTGATGTGATGCATGTTTAACAGAAGTACACGTCCACAGCATGAGCAATCCCGCCGATGAGTCCACCATGAGCAGCCTTCATTTAACCATGGTGGAGTATAGAACACGTTCATCTCGTATAACGAAAAGAATTGTCAGCGTTGCTCAGGCCAAACCATCAGCAGGAACAGGCTGGCGAAAACAGGCGTCCTTGAACAACTGGTGAGGGAAAAAGAAAGGAAGACTCTGGATTCTAGAGATCAGCGAATCTTGCCGCTGCATAGACATCACAGGCTATTTTTCAGTGAATCCATTGGGCTGATAGTCGGACCATCTTTGTCCAGATATCGATTTTCCCAAGCTCTGACAGAGTCTGCAGCTTCTTGCTTCTTCTTCTTGCATTCCTTACTCCGTATTGCAGGAGATCGATGCAGGTTTTCTCAGCCTGTTGACCACTTGACCCCGGGACGATGGGACCAGCTTCATCTGCTCTGCCCCATAGCCGGCGAGTTAGCTAAGTAAACTTGCGAAGAACAGCTTCGTGAGCTTACCGCGGCCGTCCTCCATCCACCCAACGCTGCACATGCTGCCCTGTTCTTCTCCGCTGATCGCCAGGCCGTGGAGTGGGTTTTCTTTTTTTTGGCGCTGCTGTTGTGGCCAATAAGCCGATGCACAGCTGAGCGGACACGATGCGACGTTGCTTGGGGGTGAACCTGGGCGAGGGACGACTTGCTGCATGAAGCTTCGCTGGATCCCTGGCGAAGGCGGGACAACTCTAGCGGCGGGCTCCGAGTTATGCTGCTGATGACACAGTGTGCAGATGGAGGGGAAGCTTGGGGGATGCAAGGCATACCGTTAGGCTGCTTGTTCGTCCCCTGCCTGAGGCACAACTGTAAAGATTACAGAGCAAACTCTTAGAATCAATATCCCCTGCAACGCAGTTCACGTTGTGAAGCTGTGTTCTCCCAGACCTGTATCACTCTGTTGATACCACAGAGAAGCCCTCTGCGGCATTCGATATATGTTATATATAACCCATAATTTATAGCATGCTCATTAATCCATATTCTAGCTAACCAAGTCATAAAAAGCGGCATTTCTGAAAAAAGAGTTGCCAAATAATTAACATTAAAAACAGGCTTCGGCAATACGGGGCCGTTGAAGGCCGTCAAACATCAAAGTCCGTTCATCGTTCTCTCCGCTTTCAGGACATCCCCCTCGGTGATAAAATCAAGGAGAACCACGTTGGGCTTGCGATGGTAAATCGAGTTGCATAAATCGACCTGGGCCCCAATGCTGCCTTGGCCTACAGCAGCGTTCGTCCTGTCGGCCTTGAATCGGTCAGGGAGGAAGATACCGAAGACGTTAACATTTAGGGTATGGTTAACAAGGTACATCTGCCCGTCAGGCTTGCCGCCGGCTGGACGGTCAAGCTTACACTGAGGGAAGTTTTCATCGGTCGTGCTGAATGGAGTCTCAAAGTAGTATGAAAACTCGTCGAGTAGATATGGAAATCTATTGGTGTCTGCCTTGGAATCTGTTCAGGGAGAGTAAGTATATAGGAGGAACTAAAGTTTAGGAGAAGCGAGGTTTGCTCTCCTATCCATAACGTGCAACACTTACCGACGAAGACTATTAGTCGTTTGCCAGTCGTGATCAACTCGCGTAACGTTGGCCAATCGCCGAGGGCAAGCTTGGACTTTGGTGGAAAGGTATAGTCTTTGATTCCGTTCACAGCGTTGAAAGCATCATCAAATTCTTTGATATCAAGTCCATCGCCGTTTGTGATCAAAAGAGTAACCACCTCATTTGGATGGCTATCCAGCCATGTTTTGACCGTTTGAAGGTATGAACTTACACTCCCGGCGTCCTCTAGGATACATGATGTATGACACATGCTAAAGACGCCATCATCGTTCTTGTGTGTCTGTCCCTGAAGAAATCGGATGCCAAAATCCAGCTGTTAGGTCACAGAGATATCTTGGTTGTGCTGGAGCAGCGGTCCAACAAACGGAGAATTGTGGGCACCCACGAATGACAGCTCCGAGTATCGACGATCACAGTACTCCGGATGGCCATTGCATATTAGATCCTGAGCTGTTGGAAGCGCGGAAACCTGAAGGGTAGCCGAAAGCAATGCTCCCAGCCAAAGGAGGTGTCTTAACGTGGACATTGACATCTTTTGATATGCGCCGTTATGCGAAGAGGAATGAACACCAAACGAGTTAGAAAGCTCGATATGAGCAGTGTTTATATACGCACACACGCTGAAGTAGAATGCTTGTGACTCTATCAAGCGGTTTTATAACCTTGTCCTTTTACCCACGGGCATATCACAAAGGCAAGACCGGCCGGCACTCCCACCTGACCCAAGGTCCACAGGTCATTCGCTTCGTCTCTGTTTTTCCCTTTAGCAGTGAACAGGGCTCGTCCCGAGGAGTACACCATGAACGCCGCCATCTCGAGCCGGGCGAAGAAAGAACTGTGTGGGCGATGAAGAGCAAACTGGCAGGGACAACCAGCTGCAGTGTAGAAATCCTTATTCCTCTACAACGAATAAGAAGCTTCATCCGCGAGACTTCGAGAGAGCGATGGCAGGGATATCAACTCTGCCATACCCTTGTTTGCCTGCGCTTCCATCGAGGTCACTCCGTCATTCGTCGGCCCCAAAAAAATAAGAAGCCAGGCTCAAAAAGTAGGACATCTCTTCCCCTGACCTGGAACCTCTGTGCCATCCACAGATTAATTAAGCCCATGCTGCGGACACTCCGTAGATCAGCGCCGTGGAGGTGGCAAGCCTTGTGCGACAGCAAGAGTGATCAGTCATTTAGTTAGTTAGGTGAACCAGGCATGTTAGTTATATCTTTCGTCGGCTTTCTTCTTCTCCTTTTTATCCCTGTGATGCCAGGATAGAGTAATAATATATCGTTAGAAAACAGTTCCAATAGTAAATAGTTACTGACTGTGGAACCAGGGACAGTAGGCAGTTAATTAGGGACCTGGTTCCGATGGACGATGGACGATGGACGGATGTCCAAGATACCCGACCCGATGGGCAATTATTACCGGGATCCGGCACAACTTGCCTGTTCCAGGAGTAACTCGAGCCTCATCCCTATTTTGACGGCGCGTCTTATTTTTAGCGATTCCATGGAAGATAGCAGTCATCAACATACGGTGCGAGTTAGCTATAGAAATCTCGACATACTGACAGCAAGGGCGATATCGTGTTCCAATGCATACATGCTCTCGCGGGTGGTTGCCAGGGTGTAGCTATAACTAGCACAGTTTGAGATTTGCTCTGTCGGTTAATTTCGCGTATGTTCTCGATAACAGGTACACAAACGATAGGCTAGGGGCATCAGGCGTATTTGGAGATCCATCCATCCATGCAACTGATATGAATCCCAAACGTGCCGATGCTGCCTGGGAACACTCCTCAACTGGCGCCGGTGCGAAACGGTCACGGTCCGAAAATGATGCTCTCCCAGCTTTCACCACCGCACACCAGGTCTTGAACGCACAGTCCAGAGCGCAGAGAACCAGCACTGTGCAGGATTCCCACGATACCAGGCGCTTACGGCCCAGCAGAATAGACCTGCTATCCAACTCTAGCAATAGTGAGTCCTCTCGCTTGCAGAATCTGTCGGAGTACTCGCAAAGGACCTCTGTATCCAGTACTCCTGGACCAGCCCAGAATCCCATCCTCTCTCTCAGCCACCCAAAATACGGTTTACCGACTGCCCTGGTCAAGAATTTTGCATCTCTGGGTGTCAACGCTATTTATCCATGGCAAGCATCATGCCTCTTAGGCAGGGGCCATCTGTCAGGAGAAAAGAATCTGGTGTACAGTGCTCCAACGGGGGGTGGTAAGTCATTAGTTGCAGATGTATTAATGCTGAAACGCATCCTTACCTGCCCGGACAAAAAAGCTATCCTGGTTCTCCCTTATGTTGCTCTCGTCCAGGAAAAGCTGAAATGGCTCAGACGCGTAGTTGAAGGGATACCCCGATGCACGCATGATGATGATGATGATGGTGCTGATAACTCCGCCGATGGGGCCAGATCTTCTCGGCTCAAACCTGAAGAGAACTTCATCCGAGTTACAGGTTTCTTCGGTGGAAGCAAGGCCAGGACAACCTGGTCAGATACAGATGTCGCGGTGTGCACCATCGAGAAGGTTGCTCCACACCAGCTCGACTTCACTCTGTCTGAAAATACTGCTAACACTATGTAGGCTAACTCGCTTGTCAATAGTGCAATCGAAGATTGTACAATTGATAAGCTAGGTGTAATCGTTCTCGATGAACTGCATATGCTCGATGATGAACACCGTGGTTACCTGATAGAAATCATGGTAACAAAGCTTCTTCTGCTTCAGCAAGATATCCAAATAATCGGCATGAGTGCAACTTTATCGGTATGATTTATATTTTAGTTTATGACTTCTGGGAGCTAGGGCCAATAGCTTATATTTTGAGAATTATTCTAGAATACAGAGGTCCTTGCAAAGTGGTTGAATGCGAATTATTATATATCTCGATATCGGCCGATACCCGTCGAAGAATTCTTAGTGTTTGAAGATTATATTTATCCAGTGCCTACCACAAAGGGCCTTCTTCGGAAGATGATCAGGCCCGATACATCAAATCCAAATGATGTCCCGGCTTCAGCGTGCCGAGTCATACGTAAGTCGGAATTTCGGGAGTTAGCGTTCCCAATTCCAAATGCTATGGTTGCCCTTGCCTGCGAAACAGCAGCTGCAGGTTATGGCGCTCTTGTATTTTGTGGGAGCAGGCAAGCTTGCCAGACAAATGCGGTGCTCATAGGAGATGCAATGCCAGACACTCTGGATGCAGATACTATTGAGAAGCGCCTGGACCTAGTAGCAAGCTTGCAAAGCCTCCCTTGCGGACTTGATACCTACTTTGCCAAAACTATACCGAGAGGTGTTGCTTTTCATCGTCAGTATTCCCCTTCCTAAATACGTCTTTAGATTTATCAGACAGATGTTGACTTGTACTCGTAGATGCTGGTTTAACCACCGAAGAACGTGTGCTGATTGCGGAAGGGTTTGATGCTGGAATCCTCAAAGTACTCGTAGCCACTTGTAGCTTAGCAGCGGGGATAAACCTCCCCGCTAGAAGGGTTATCCTCTGCGGTGCAAGAATGGGACGTGAACTGGTTGGGCCTGCAATGTTGTAAGTATTTGCTGAATTTCCATCAGTTGCTTGCGATCTCAGCGCTAACCCTGAAAGACGACAGATGCGTGGCCGAGCGGGCCGAAAAGGCAAGGATGAAGTTGGTGAAACCTACTTATGCTGCACAAGCAAGGATTGGGAAGATGTGGTTGGGTTGTTGGAAGCTGAGTTGCCCGCCATTGCGAGTGGGTTGGCCCCAGGCAGGGCAGGGATCAAGAGGTAACCCCTGATATTATTCATGTCAAAAGGCGGTAATTGACAGAAGTATAGAGCGTTACTTGAGGCCATTGCTACTAAGCTGGTATCCGGTCGTGATGCTATCAACGATTATATCAGGAGCAGTCTGTTATTTCACAATGACGAAGCACAGGATACCCTTTTCGACATGGTGCAATCAACTCTCCAGGAACTTCTGGATTCAAAACTCGTGAAGTTATCAAATGATGAGACTTTTGAACCAACACAGCTTGGCCTAGCAATTGTCGCGTCCGCATTTAGCCCTGATGATGGGCTTTTCATATATGGAGAATTAAAACGTGCTCTGCAGGCTTTCGTGATGGATGGGGAAATGCATATCTTTTATATGTTTTCTCCGCTACAGGCGTCTTCGGAAATTGACTGGATGGCGTTCCGCGACGAGGTTCATGGACTAGATGATAGTGGACTACGTACAATACGGCTCGTTGGCGTTGACCCTGGATTGGTGAACTCAATTGCAATGGGACATGCTTCTATTAAGGATCCAGCTTTGCTCAGAGTCTACAACCGTGTCTATACGGCATTTCAACTGCGTGACTTAAGCAATGAAATCCCAGTCTCATCAATTGCGAAGAAATATAACATAGCCCGAGGTGCTGTACAGACGCTTGCTCAAAACTGCCACGGGTTTGCGGCTGGGATGGCCAAGTTCTGTCAACGGATGGGCTGGGATATGCTGGCTGTTGTGTTGGAGCATATGCGTGATCGCCTTCAGGCTGGAGCCCGGGCAGATCTATTGGAGATGGCACAGGTGACCTATGTCAAAAGCCGAACGGCAAGGCTGCTTTGGGAGAACGGGTTTAAAACCCTGAGGTCTCTCGCTGAAGCTGCACCTAGTGAGCTGGTACCTGTGTTAATGATGGTAAGTTGGCCTTAACATTCTGTATTATCCTCATGCCTAACGCGAATACTAGGGTCAGCCTCGGAGTAGCTCATACTCGAGTAACAATAAAGATATGAAGAGAGTTACATCAAAACTAACTGCAAAAGCAGAGGTAATTATAGCCTCAGCAAGCAGATTATGGGGTATGGTTTGCTCATCACTTTCTACGTTATCTCTTAGGCAAAGTCATACTAACTTTACCTAGAGCATCAAACTGTGGTAGAACTAGATGAGTAAACGGAACGCCTATTTAAAAGGGTTGGGATTTTTTGAAGTTATTGAGACATGAGCACTGCTACATGATAGGAGATAAATTTAGGATCGATGGCCCGTCCCGATAAATACAGTAAATATATGTAATTAACAGTGGCACGCTACGTAGATACCAAATCAAAATAGTCTATTTGAAACAACTGTTGGACATTCCCAGCAAGTCCAAGTTTTATATTCAGTGCAGGCTGAATCTAACTATCGCTCACCTCTGCCCACTGTCATCACCACCTATTCCAAACCTTCCACCCAAACCACTGAGATCTCGACGGAAGAACTTCCCGATGTTTTTGAGATTCTCATTCAGGTTTGCGGCAGCAGAAGAGGCCCCTTCACTTGCATCTGCATTCTGTCCCGTAGAATTTATGTTCTGATTTGATAACGGTGTTCCTGATCCAGACTGGGCCACTGAGCCGGCTACGGCACGGCCACTGCTGGCCGAAATTCCACCAGGCGTATTTCCGAGGTTGCCCAAACCTGGCGTCCCAAGTCTATCAACCCCGTCACGAGCAGCCGATATAAGAGCAGAGCCAAGCATTGATGGATCGAATCGTGTAGGGAGCGTGTTGGCTCCAGAGGAAGAAGTTGGGGTTCCCCCGAGATTACCCAGCCCAAGGCCCTGTGCTACAGTGGGGGCAGTAGGTGCAGGAGGAGCCGGCGGCTGTAAATAAGAAATTAAAGGATTGCTCTCTTGTAGATTGGAAGCATGGCGATTGGACGTCTTGTGAGCCTGAAACAGTTCGACAAGACGATTCTGTTCCTGTTTACTTCTTATCCCCTTTATGTCCAGTATTTTTCGGAAGTTGTTGTCATTTCTGTCAGCAATATGAATCAGATATGCCTGTACGAGAGCCTCTGGCGGAACAGCTCGGACCTGCAGAGTTTTAAGAAGGGTATCAATTTTCTGGGAACTTTGGTGGACACGTTTAACAAAAGCAGTGGGTGCTGGCGAAAGAAGGCCTGTTAGACCTGTTTTTATGCCATAACTATCAAGAAGCATCTATCGCCGCGTTAGATACCTGTAAGTTAATACATGGAGTCAAAAAGGCCATACATACCTGTTCTGCACCAGCTTCTGAAACGGGCTTGCACTGGTATATATTTGAGATATAACTTGTTGACGTATGTTCTACCAGGTTATCAGCAAAGGCTCGCTGATACTGCTGTTTGTGAAGCATCCCTAAAGTCTCATCCGATTTCGATTTCAAGTTGGACAAAAGAACCTCAACGTATGGACTTTGATCTCCAACGCCATCCTGTGCACTCCAACTTGTATTCCGCATTTCTCTCCATGCTGGTTCCATTCCGATATCAACTTTCCGCACAAGCAGGCGGACAATCGCACTAGCTATTCCCATGAACGAATCTGCCTGGCTCTGGAGATCGACTTGTTGCTTGAAGGGCTCATCTATCTTGCTCCTGATTTTGTCTTCAAGTTGATTGCAAGTTGTATAGCAATAATCTGCAGTGTTGAGTACCATGGTAAGGTCCTCACATGATGGCAGTTTTGATGAAGCCTGATTTCCTGGGCGATCACTGATATAATGAAGTAGGACTTGCTGAGCATATTGATCCAAGTATCTTGCAAATACCTTCGTTAATTCTGCAAGTGAGTTGCCCGTGGAGAGTTTGGCGCATTGTGCAAGGGATAAGCGGTAGAACGTAAAAAGCTCCGTTGAAGAGTGCACAACCAGTTGTGGAGAATATTCTTCATCCTCCGGTTTAATCGGCTGCTCCCTATACTTTCGGATGAGGGTGTCAAGCTGCTTGTCTTGAGCAGATACCCACAAACTCAGATAAGGCTCGAATGCCTCAGATATGGTCTGCGAGAAAATAGGTGTTTCACTGGAGGCAAAGGTATCCGTAGATGCACGGGAAGCATTGGTAAAACGCCTATCAAGGTATTGCTCGAAATCAAGGGATTCTTGAAGACAAGATAATATAAGATTAACATCCATAGTTTGTCCGCTGCGAACTGACCTGGACAATAACCCTTTAAAGTCATCCCTTGTACCTTCACAGAAGATGTTCGCTAAAACTTCGTTGACTTTCCACGAGGCTGGGAAAATTGTCATATGTTCTTCGTCGTAGGTCTTTAGCATCCTTTTAAACCAGGAATATCTCCTGGAGATATTATCCAGGGATCCGGCCTCCTCGTTTCCTCTAAAAACCTGACGGTATTCTCTTAGTTGCGTGTTACAATACCAAGTGATGAGCCGTGATTTGGCCATCTCTCCCAACGCTTCCATGACTAGACAGCCCTCGGCTAGGATATTTCTCTTCTGCGCTGTCTCACCCTTGGCAAATATGATCTCAAAGTCCTCGCAAACCTGTTCCAACAGCTCCCGTTGTATATCTGCTACATTTCGGCTCAGGGTAGCAATTTGATCAATGGAACGGTATGATTTGAAATGCGCCATCAATTGTATCACGGCCTGGAGTAATTGCGCGCAATCCCGGTATTGCCTTGACTTGCTTAGTGCTTTCAGCTGTTCGTACGCTGTAGTAAGCATCTGGAGCCTTTTCAGCGTTGTCATAGACAGTGTCAAATTCCCTTTTGCATTGTCCAGTTGCTTGATGTCGGCTGTCATTGCGGTAATCGCCTGCTCCGTTTTCAGGGCTCGTTCACGGACTTCCTCGATCTTCTTGAACAGCTCCGCCATGTCTTCTTTAGCATTGTGGATACGCTCAACGCTTTCCAGGTTAGAAGCTGCCTGCGCTTCCACGAGGGCAGAGATATTTTCGTCAAGTTCATCTTGGTATACCTTGAGGACTTGGGAGGTCTTGGGCACGGCGGCAAGGGTCGACGGATGGGAGAAAATAGCGTTTAGGTGTTCGATAGGGTTATAGTCAGCTGTTCCAAGTTAGAGTGCCGTTGAATGAGATATATCTGTCCTGATACTTGCCTCCATCCAGTGGGTCGGTCTCTGGTTCCCCGTTTGTTGGCATAGGTGTGGTGATGGAGAGTTAAACACGTTGAAATAAGGGTGTATTTAATCGCATTTGGTGGCTTTTAGCAAGGGAAGTGCGATAGCTTTATATGGTCTCATTCAGCGGCATTAGACGATGCATTCGAGAAACGAGGTTCGAGTAAAATATCGTGAAAATATGCCCTTTCTTCGAAGCTGTTGTTCATGAGGCTAGAAATCCCGCTGTCGTTGGTGCTTTGGATAAAATGACGATGGTTGGAGCTTTCGCCGAGCTTGGCTCTCGGAATTATTGTTTAGTGGCACGCCTAAGCCATCAGCTACATAAGACTTCCTCATATACTTAGCCTGCATAGCCTTCCTGTACTCCAAGGCCAATCAAGCCTTTATCGAAGGATATATATTCGAGCTGTGTGTGACATGGAACTGTTTAAAGGATGACTCTGCTTTATTGCATTCCCAATTTGGGCGGATATGTTTTTTTCTAGCTAAAGTACACTTCCATCACACGGTAAAATCCCACACCCCCTCCGCCATGCAACAGGTAAAACGAAACAAGAAAACTCCCGATAAACCAAGGACATAGCGGTAAAGATATAATGGCAATCCCTAAAGCAGGATACGCCAATTTCTTCGTTCATTTCAAAGGTAACTCCAGAGTTGAGTCTCTGGAAATGTTGCGAGAAAAGGATCTCCCGGGGAAAACGACGATGAATATAGTATATGGATGCTAATAAAAAAAGGCTGTAAAACGCTGACGGTTTTTTTTCTCTCTCTCCCTCTTTCCTTTTTGTTTCTTCCTTTTCAAGGCTTATAAAAACTATAACTTATGCGCCTGGCAGGAACGCAGTAGGGGGCAAGTTTCCTTGTGCCTGAATGTGATTTTGTTAGTATTGATTTACTTCAGAGGCAAGGGGTTGCCATATGCAAAGCTATACTACTAACCTTGAGCTCTTCAAAGTTCTTTAACGCCAAATTCATATCCCAGCTGTTACCACTAAGAGCCATTTCGGAAAACTGCAACGTCATCTTCGTTTTAAAGCTTATCTCCAGTATAAGCTGTTCTTTTTTAAGCTCGTCCTCCGACTTCCCAGGCTGGGGTGTTCCGTAGCCTGGTTTTGCCTCTGGATGTTGAGTTCCTAATTGCGGAACTGCCGCAGGCTGGGCGGGTATGACGGTTACAGGAGGTGCTTGGGTTACAGGCTCAGCTGCAGCTTGTTCATGCTCTGGAATCCAGGCAGTACAATCTCCAAACACTCGAAGGCAAAGCATGTCGTTGCTAACCCGGAGTCCTCCTAGACCATTTCCAGGCCCAAGGACAAATGTTCGGTCAAAACTGCGGGTTTGGGATTTGCTTCCGGTATTGGGATATATCTCCTCAAATTTTCCATGGACTGTGATCAAAAGGCCACCAACACCAGTCACACTTTGATTGTTGATATCAGGAAGGCCAGGAATAGGGTGGCATTCTATCAACCATTCTTTGGGGTTGGAAAGAATTTCCGGGTGTTTTGTTTGTGGGAACGTATTCCATATTTCGCGGATGCTGTCAGTACCAATAAAGCTACGTGATACGCGGGCAGGGAGATGACTGATTTTCACGAGATTTCTGCTTTTCCGGATGTACGAATCCCATGGAGGCGTTGATTCCGTTTGTGCCGCTCGTGGGGCTACAGTGTTGACGTTGTACGAAAATATGGATTTTGCGTCATATATGCCATTGAGAAGATCGTTTCGGTTGTTGTCGAATCCAGTAAAGAAAGCTTTGACAAAATTTTCCGCAATCTGGCCCTCGTCCTGAAAGCTCGGGCCCATGACGGGGATAGGGGTCTTCTTTTGAGCCGCAATTTCTTCAGCTGTTCTAACTGCTGCATTGTTCAATGTCCGGAGCTGAGGATACCATTTTATCATGGTTTCCTTGAAATTTGGTTCTGCGCATACTGGGTTTCCAGTAAGATCTAGAAAGTCGAGGCTGCGGAATTTCCATCTCCAGCTGCTTAGACTCGAGATATCCTTGAACTGGTTATGCGACAAATCGAGGTTTCTGATATCGGGGAAGGTTTGTGCAAGAGAAGTGACAGCAGTGAGGTTTGGTAGTTGATTATGCGCCAAGCTGACACTCACGACTGCAGCCTTCCTTTTGGCAGCAGAGTCGAAAGTAAGCTCGCACACTTTCATAAGGGCCGGGAAGAATTTTGATTCCGTTGACACACTGTTAAACATGCCCATCTCCACCAGATCGGGATCCGTACCCAATTTTGATAGATCAAGGAGTTTTCCTGGCTCCGAATATCTCTTTGCGAGGAAAGCAGTCATCTTAGCCTTGGTATCGATCGCAGCTTGAGATGGCCCTTGGCTTGACTGTGATGGGGTGTCTGCCATAGCTACGCTATCAAGCAGCTCCACCGTGAGGGGGGCTCCGGCAAAGGAAAATCCATTCAATCGTAAAAATCCATCCACCTGTTCGGGTCGAACTGATATAATCATGCTGTCGCCTTCAACCCGCGACTACTGAATGTTAGCAAGGCATAATTAACCTTGGAAACCGATCTTCTTTGCAGTAACTCGATAGCATTCGTAGAATGTCTGAACGGTCTCAGAGAGAAAAGCATCGTTCCAGCTGACAAGAGAACGGAGACAACGCAGAAGAGTAGTGCTGCAGAGTGTGTCGATAACCGCGAGAACGTGAACGTGAACGTGATATAGCACATACCTTAGTAATCTTGAATCGTCCAGGGGCCGTAGCGTTCTGGTCCGGGGGCGCAGATTTCTTCTCCAAAAATGCAACAAGACTGACAACGCCACCGTCGGGATTCGAAGCCGCTTTGCTATTCTTCCAACCACTCACTTTTATCTGTGTCAGATTCCGCCTCAGGGCTCCATCTGTAATTCCACGGCCGTGCCTGATATTGGCCTGGGAGGAAGAACTGCTGAATATAGCCTTTTGGAGAGCATCAATCGTCTTTTCTTTCTCTCCTGGTCTTCTCGATGATCTTCCCGGAGCGACTCCGCGAGAGCTTCTTATCCGACCCTTTCCAGCGCTTGAACCAGAGGCAGCCATATCCATGTCTCCATCTCGATCTACCCGGGGAGTGGCGCCTCGTTTTCGGATGCCACCGCGGTCTGTTCCTCCCGTTCTGCCTCGGGTGCCTCTACTGCGGTTGCTGGAGCTATTCATCCTTCCACCTGAGACCTGCAGCATGACGGAAGAATGCGTTTGCTAGAAAATACGGTGAGGTTGGCGACTTCTTAGTTCCTCAACAGACCGGAACAAGCAGCGTATGGACTGCAGCCCGCTATTTTGAACTGTGTCGCGCCAGCATGCAAGGTTCGGAAGAGCTCGTTGAGCTTGGTCGTGTGTCGAAAGATACTTTTCAAAAGGGATCTCTAGCGACCGGTCGGCTGTGGTATATAAGGGCGGTATCAGAGGCGCTGGTGAAGTGGTGGACGTTATGAAGAAAGCAAAAGTGTTTGCGAGTTTCTGCCTCTGTAAAAGAAAGTCCAGTGAATGGCTGTGCTTAATCGGGCTTAGTGCGGCTCTAAAGATGTGTTGTGCTTATGTAATCAAGATGTCCTGCGGCGACGTTTCTACAAAGCCTCTTTGATATTGAGGCTAGGGGTCAATATATTTATATACACGGGCATATGTATTCTAGACATTCAAATATAGCTGCCCTTCGGGCCTGAACCCAGTTACGGTTTCTCAGCATTTGTATATTGTTGATTTTTGCACTATATGTAAGGGAAATTGTACGCTAATACACAATACATATTCTCTCTCTATGTACCATTTCTATCCAGCTAATTGACAGGAATGATGGCACTAATACAGAGCGCATACCACTGTATCAGAAATAGTTGTCGCCAACTTGCGATCAAACGTTCAACGTCAATTCAGGAAAGTAGCTATGTATTATATAATATGTATTACATAAGTAAACTTTCCCATTTAAGCTTCGCTATATGTGGGTACATATACACGTGATTTAAATTAGTCAGCCAAATTCCGGGCCAATGAGAGCAAAGCTTCAATGTGTCCTTTCCCGCTGAGCTTCAAGTCGATGCAAGTGACGGCGGACTTCCCTCTGTGTACGAGGAGCTGCGTGTCTACTGAGAATTCTCCACCCATATACGGCTCGCCAGTACGCCACCAGTCACTCACTTCGGCACTCTCTCCCACTTCCTCTCTCTGTGGGATCGGTGATGCGCATTTGCAACAGCCTTTTGAGCTCACGTTGCTATTCCTCCTACCTTCACATACCAATCAACCGCGAATCGAGGTTGTATATTGACTAAACTGGAGAGAAATACGCATTTTGCTTTCTAATCCACGAGCCAATTGGTTGATTTCGACCCAAGGCGACACTACCGCTCGATATGGCTGGCAAATCTCGATTCACACGCCTTGATGCTTTCGCGAAAACTGTTGAAGATGCGCGGATACGGACGAGATCGGGAGGAGTGGTTACTATAGCTGCATTGCTTATTGTTATATATCTGGTTTGGGGCGAATGGAAAGATTATCGACGAGTCGTCGTTCAGCCTGAGCTGATCGTTGACAAGGGCAGAGGTGGGTATCATGTCTTTATGGATGTCATGGCAGGGAAGTTAACATCCAGTTATAGGCGAGAGGATGGAAATCCACCTGAATATGACCTTTCCAAACCTCCCCTGTGAACTGCTCACCCTGGATGTCATGGACGTATCAGGTGAACTCCAGACAGATGTGGATCATGGAGTTAACAAAGTCCGCCTCAGCTCTGCAGCAGAAGGCGGAAGAGTCATTGACGTGACAGCATTGGCCCTGTAAGTTACTCAAATTCAGATTTGATAAAGCTCTGCTCAATCCCGTAAACAACTGCTAACCGGTATTCAATGTAGACATAAGAAAGAGGACTCTCCCGCACACCTCGACCCAAACTACTGTGGAGACTGTTACGGCGTTCCTGCGCCCTCCACCGCAAAGAAGCCAGGATGCTGCAACACTTGTGATGAAGTTCGTGATGCCTACGCGGAGAAGAACTGGGCCTTTGGCCGCGGCGAGAACGTTGCCCAATGTATCGACGAAGGCTACTCCCAGCGCATTGACGAGCAACGACATGAAGGATGCCGCATTGAAGGAATTCTTCGTGTGAACAAGGTTGCAGGGAACTTCCATATTGCTCCCGGCCGTAGCTTGACAGCAGGAAATTTCCATGCCCACGATCTAGACAACTATTATCATACCCCGGTTCCACATACTATGACCCATATCATACACAAGCTCCGGTTTGGACCCCAGCTTCCCGAAGAGCTCTATAGCCGATGGAAATGGACACACCAGGATACCATTAACCCTCTTGACAAATCCGAGCACAAGACTAATGAAGTACGATACAACTTCCTGTACTTTGTCAAGGTGGTGTCAACGTCATACCTACCACTTGGATGGGATCCCACCTTGTCAAGTGAGGCACATTCCCAGGCCCACAGGGACATTCCTCTGGGCAACCATGGGGTCTTCTTTGGCTCCCAGGGAAGTATTGAAACCCATCAATATTCAGTTACTTCGCATCAACGATCACTCGATGCAGAAGATGCTTCCGCCGATGGACACAAAGAGCGCCAACATTCTCGCGGCGGCATTCCATCTGTCATGTTCAATTATGAGATATCCCCCATGAAAGTGATCAATCGCGAAACTAGACCAAAATCTCTCTCTGCGTTCTTTACTGGTGTCTGTGCTGTTATTGGTGGTACATTGACAGTGGCAGCCGCTGTCGACCGTTTGCTTTATGAAGGAAGCTTGAGGGTTAAGAAGTTGCACAAGAGCTGATTTATATACCGTTCCTTCACGTTGTCATACTCTTGCCTATCTGCCTTTTGGTGGTTAGTCTTTTCATTTGCTTTTTTTTTGGTTCTAGGGGAATGATCGATTTTGGCGTTCTATATATTGATTGGTAAATACGATTAAAGGGGTTCCTTCTGAGCGAGTTTTATCAATCTTCCTGGCGCAACTTTTCTACGTAATCTTTCAGTCTTTCTACCCTATATTTACCCCCTTGTGGATCGATGACCCTTCAGGCACCCCTTCTTACATATATGATCTACGTAGGGGTGGCGTCATTTGAGTCGAATCTTTAGAGCAAAAAAACTTTTGATACGCTTATTCGACAGATGGTTCAGTCAGGAGAGGAGAAAAGGCTGATACAATTGAAATCAGTGTCCCAAACACTATATCTAGTAATAACCCTTGCTTTCCGTAGACCTTCCCTGATGCCATTTTTGTTTTGCATGATGAAAAATCTAACAGTAAGCAATCTATCACTGATTCCAGTTCCCATTTCAAAACGAATGCAATGCAATGCGTATCGTGGCGTATGTACTACTTATCATAGTGATGCATGCATGAGCTGCGAGGAAGCATAAGATTTGGGGAGGTAAAAACGCACAAATACAATAAATAGACCAAACTCCTAATGCATAACTAGAAAGGAAACATAATGACCAGATAGGTAGACAGAGGTGAGCGTTGATATGAGGGATTCAGGATAACCGAGATCTAAATGGTGAACAAAGCGGACAAAGAAAAGAAACGTTACGTACCAGGTCAAGGTGATGGGTGATGTGTACTTGAGAGTAAAAAAAATGACGACGAGAAGGAAGTTCCAAAATGAGGATCTGGTTAGAAAAGGACAAGTAACGAAGGATGAGTAGACAAATGGATATGATTGGAAAATGGAGATGCGGTCATGGTCATTATCGACAAGAGGAAACAAAAAATGAAGGGCAATAACTGTGGAAAATGGCAAGGGGGGTAGGCTTCTAAGTTACTGGGACAGTGTAATGGACGAAAATGGACGAAAATGAGATAGGGTCGAAATAGAAAAGAAAAGAGAGGGAAGAAAACAGTAGTTCATGAGTTCAGGCTATGCATGGTACTGAGGCTGCCATTGCTGACCCTGAGGTGGCGCATAATAGCCTGCCTGTGGTGGCTGTTGTGGTTGCTGTTGAGGGAGATATGGGAATTGCATGGATGCAGCATATCCAGGAGGTGTACCCAAGGGCTGCTGGAATTGCTGCTGCAGTTGGAACTGAGCCTGGGCCTGTGCCTGAGCCTGGGCCTGTGCCTGAGCCTGGGCCTGTGCCTGAGCCTGGGCCTGTGCCTGAGCTTGAGCCTGTGCTTGTACTTGTGCCTGGTACTGTCGCTGGGCAATGGCCTGTTGTACTGCTTGTCCACTAAAACCATCCTTCATAGCTTTCCTCTCACGCTCCCGGGCATCAATAGTGCTGACAAGTCCGGATCCAAATTGTGGGCTCTGGTTATTATTCAAGTTAAGGAATGAAGATCCGGTCACACGAGCTACATGCTCTTGCTCTCGAGCAGAGAGATGACCAGAAATATCTGGTTGAGCTAACATTCGGTTAGCACCCCGCGAAGAAGGACGAGCAGGAGCATCAAGCGGTCCGAGAATGACACTGGCACCACGAGAAGATGGCCGGGCGGGAACGTCAAGTATGGTATTTGCACCGCGAGACGAAGGGCGGGCTGGCATATCTAGCATGACGCTTGGGCCTCGAGAGTGTGGACGCTGAGGAAGATGAGTGGCGGATGATTGGTGGCGGATATAGGCAGACCAATCTCCTGATGCCGGCCGGGGTGGAGGGGGTGTAGCTCGAGTCGGCATTACTGGAAGATGGATCTGTGATCTGGAAGCGCGGTCGTGAACGAACTGTTCTGCTGAGATACTCGTCGGGCCGGGGGTCACAGGGCCACTATCTTGGACCATACCTGGCTGCCAGAGAACGCTGCGGCGGCGTCCACGTTCCTGCGTGGGCGGTGGTGGAGACGGAGACTCGTTTGATTCCTGGTTGAGGTGCTCAAGTAGACGACCAGTCGAAAGTCTTCTGCCTCTTGTTGCGAGGGTACCTTCAGAAGGGTTACGCTGATGAGAAGAAGACAGAAGTAGCATAGTATCAGACGTGCTGGGTCGTCTTGCGGTAGGTTTATAGGTATGTGTGGGCCCAAAGTCGACTTCTGGAATATCAGAGCTCACTTCCACAGGAGTAACAGCAGGATGCTTATAACGAGCGTCACCTATGACAAGATCATCCGTCTTTGGCATAGCGTCGCCAACGACCTTCATCTTTCCCATCCTGGGTTTCTGAACAGACTGGATAGACCGGACTGATGCGGAAGATTTATGCGAGCTTGCGTATGAT